TATTTTGTTTAATGCAAGACATGAATGCATTTAACCTGCAATTACAAATGCATAAATAATGTTTTGATATATTAAACATAAAACGTTGAATACGGATATTTGAAATGATTTAAAACATGAAAAAAAGAAAAGAAAGTTTGAAATTAACACCGCCAGCAGGTGGCAGCAAGTCACTGTTACAGTTTTTCTCAGTCGCTTTGGTGCATTTCTCAAATCAGAAATGAAATTCTCAAAACTACTTGTACAACCTCCACATCATCTAGTCACTTGTACATCATAAAAGCAGTTTCTCATTATTTTGAACAAGTTGCGATTGCTTTGGTACATTCATGCAATTGATTATGCACTGTACATTTATCTGCAGTTTCCTACATTATCAGTTGCTAATTTCACGTTGCTCAAAATGTATTATATAGTTTGCACTAGTCTAGACTTCACGTAATGTATGCGTGCGCTCTGTAGGGATGTTTTGAATGGTTTTTGCAAAATACTCGATAATGTCAAATCGCACATTGTTAAAACAACAATTACGATATTATCGCAGACGATATATATCGCACACCCCTAACGCTGGCTATAGCAGGTGCTTTGAAGTACAGCAGTCCTCTTAAAAATCTTGATGGACTAGTGGCAGTAATCTCAAAATCACTAAATATTAGAATATTTATTGGCCAGTCACTTCTTTTAATACTAGTAATGTCCAATTTGCAAGCAGTCCGCCTCTTAAATTTTTTAGTTTAATTATTTGGTCAAATTGACAGAAAAGGAGAAGATTTTTTTAGTTATTCAGCAAGGATGATTTAAATCTATAATGTCACAAAAGATTTCTGTTTCTAATAAATGCTGTTCTTCTGAACGTCCTGTACCTCAAGGAATCCTGGAAATAACGTAGCACTATTTCCAACATTGATAATAATCAGAAATGTTACCAAATCAGCATATCAGAATGATTTCTGAAGATCATGTGACACTGAAGACTGGAGTAATGATGCTGAAAATACAGCTGCGCATCACAGGAATACATTACAGTTTAACATACATTCACTTAGAAAACAGCTATTTTAAACTGTAATAATATATCACAATCTTACTGTTGTGACTGTATTTTTAATTAATGCAGTTTTGGTGAGCAGAAAAGACTTCTTTCAAAATTCTTACTGACTACAAACGTTTGAACGACTTTGAAACTTATGTATTAAAAGCAGTATTTATAGGAAAAAAGAGCTTTTGAAATGCCAACGAGGGGCTTCTGACTACAATTTTAAGCAATGATTAAAATGAATTGATTTTGAATCAGTTCAGTGAAATGCATTCGCTGTAATTTCCATAAAGCTTTATATTTTTGCGTGTGTCTCAGGGAGAGAAGGACTGGCAGAAGTACGAGACGGCGCGGCGGCTGAAGAAGATCGTGGAGCGCATCCGAGCGCAGTACCGCGAGGACTGGAGGAGCAAGGAGATGAGGATCAGACAGAGAGCCGTCGCTCTGTACTTCATTGACAAGGTCTCACTTCATCACACAGGCCAGCTGTTACATTCACTACATTTGCTTTCTGGGAAAGTATAACGGGTCTAATCTTGTGCTGAAGTGAACTTTCAATAGTGAAGTCATAATCTACCCTTATTTATTAGGTAATTGGTAGCATTTTAGATTAGGGAACATCATTCACTTTTAACTAGTTGCTTATTAGCATGCATATATTGGCTGTTTATTAGTACTTATAAAGCATGCATTAATGCCTTATTCTGCATGTTCATATTTTAGATCCTTTAATCCACCCTTTACCTACATTTAACCTTACTAACTATTAAATAAGCAGCAAATTAGGAGTTTATTGAGGAAGAAACTCTTAGTTAATAGTGAATATGTGTTGTTTAATCTAATGTGTGGGCAGGTAACTTTTTCCTTATAATACTATATATCAGTGGTCCTCAACTGGTTGCGCTTCAAGGCCCAGATTTGAATTGTCCCACAAAAATACAATTATTACAAAATTATTAGTAAACAAAAATGTACTAAATCAAACATTTATTTCTCGTTACCAAATGCATTAAAATGATTAATATAGGCTGAAATTAATTCAAATTTTAAAATGTTTACAATATTAATATCTGCAGGCAATAGTATATTTGTCATATTTGTTTCGCAACCTAGCCATGTTGGCATCTGCCTAATCACTTCGACGTAGTGAATTTAATTGTTGCACATTTATAATAAATCCTGTTTCCTTGATGAAAGTTGATGAACTTATTTTTTTAGTTGCATTGTATTGTTTATTTTTAGTATTGATTTTTTTTTCCTGTGACATATGACGTGTAATTCAATTAATAATGTTTTTTCGCACCATTTTCACCTTCTCTCTGACCCTTAGAATTAAACTAAAGCTAAACTAATAACCGTTTTATAAAAGCAATAAGCCCAAAGAAGCCGTGGTTTACAGTGAATTTATAACAGCTAAGGGGCGTTGTTAGGCACGACGCGTAAAACCCCCTTAGCTGTTATAAATTCACTGTAAACCACGGCTTCACAGGGCTTATTGCTTTTATAAAACGGTTATTCCATATACGTAGTAAGGTTTCACAGAATAAAACAGAGTAAATAAAGTGTAATGATATTAATAAAAACAGGAGCTGCGTCCCAAATGACGCACTATACACTATGCACTCATACACTATGTACTTATGCACTATGTACTCAACCATGTATAGTATGAATTATATAAGGTTATTTTGTCATTCATAATCGGAGTCTGATAGCCCCTCCCCCTTCGGTACGTAATTAAAGCTGCGACAGTTGAGTGCATGAAGTGTCCAACATTCCACACTTCATTTTTTCGGTTATTTAAGTGCAGCATCCAGGTATTTAAAGTGCACTTTTTCTTTTTGGAATTTTCAGTGTGAACGCACTACTCGCACTATTTATACTACAAAACGTCATAGAATAGTGCATAAGTACGGGATTTGGGACGCACCTAGTATTCTTCCACCAAACAATGTAGTTCCTCAGAATCAGTTGTGGTTCCAACAAAGTGGTTGTAGAGTAATTTACAACCGCTTCGAACGCGGCTCAGCCAATCAGAATCAAGGACCGGAACTTCCGTTTTAAAAATATGTTTTTGCTCTTATTTCTATGTAAATGAGCTCTGTTATGATTGGCTAACATCCTTGTAACGATGTAATTCAAACTACCGTTCATCAGGATGACCCAAGTTGTTTGGCTCTTGACTCTGCACTGCACTGTAAGCTCTTGATGTGTGCTGAGAGCTAACGGTGGTGGCGTGTGTTTGTGTGTAGTTGGCTCTGAGGGCCGGGAATGAGAAGGACGAGGGGGAGACGGCAGATACAGTGGGCTGCTGCTCTCTGCGTGTGGAGCACATCAGACTGCACCCTCAGATGGATGGACAGGACTACGTGGTGGAGCTGGACTTCCCGGGAAAAGACTCCATCCGTTACTACAACAAAGTCTCCGTGGAGAAAAGAGTGAGAGAATCTGAATATGAGCAGCATTGGTGATATTTAAAATCTTCTTTGGATGATGGGATGTGAGCTCTAAGATGTTCTTCAATATTTATAACCAATATATATGTTGTTTTTGTTGCGGTAGGTCTTTAAAAACCTTCAGTTGTTCCTTGAAAACAAGCAGGCGAAAGATGATTTGTTTGACCGCCTCAATGTAAGACCTTCATACTACATGTCACCGTGAACATTATCATTCCTTTAGTGTGCATCTTGTTTAACCCTGTAAAGCCTGATATGTGACCCTGGAGCACAAAACCAGTCTTAAGTCGCTGTGGTATATTTGTAGCAATAGCCAAAAATACATTGTATGGGTCAAAATTATAGATTTTTCTTTTATGCCAAAAATTAGGATTAGGATATTAAGTAAAGATCATGTTCCATGAAGATATTTTGTACATTTTCTACTGTAAATATATCAAAACTTAACTTTTGATTAGTAATATGCATTGCTAAGAACTTCATTTGGACAACTTTAAAGATGATTTTCTCAATATTTAGATTTTTTTGCACCCTCAGATTCCAGATTTTCAAATAGTTGCAAATATTGTCCTATCCTAACAAACCATACATCAATGGAAAGCTTATTTATTCAGCTTTCAGATAATGTATTTAAAAAAATTGACCCTTATGACTGGTTTTGTGGTCCAGGGTCACATATGTGAAATGAGTTAACACTTTATTTTAGGGTCTCTTAACTAGTTGCTTATTAGCATGCATATTACTAGAATATTATCCATTTATTAGTATTACCTTATTCTACATCCCCAATCCTACCCAATACCTAAACTTAACAACTACCTTACTAACTATTATTAAGCAGCAAATTAGGAGGTTATTGAGGGAAAAGTTGTAATTAATAGTGAATAAGTGTTCCCTAATCTAAAGTGTTACCTGAAATGAAAATCAGAAAGGAAAAGTTTGCATTTGTGTATAATATTTGATATATACAGTTTTTGTGGCTCATATAGGAGGATGTAGTGAGAATATAGAGCTCATACTCAAAGAGGAAAAAACCCTTCAGTTTTATCTAGAGACCCAAACTGAGCAAAATGATGCCGTTTGGTGCAGATGCGGATATTTATATGGCTGAAATGTAAGGTGAAACTCGCTTGTAATGTAATAATTAAGATTAGTATAACAGACTACTTGCATAAAATGATATAAATATCGGTTGTCTCTCTATATCTCCCAATAATATGTCTTAGTAAGATGATAATATAATTGCTTAGTTTGATGATCAAGGCTCTGTAGTTCAAAACATAATGCAATGCAATACAGTGATGACTGAGAGATGAACAAATAAATGTTCCGCAGAAGCCTGATGATCATATTTGATACTCATATTTGAACATAATTTCTTAAAAAGCAAGTATGTATAATCCAGAAAACCTAAGCTGCTTCATTCCAGTCAACGTTAATCTTGAAATACTACTAATAATATACGTTATGCTTATGTTTGCTTTATAAAAAATCTGTATAGATTTCACAACAAAAAGACATGTGAACCACAACATTTACAATTATACTAACAAGGCTTTTCTTGCAAAAAATGTATAAATGATCAATCAGACGACAGAAGGCATGGAGTAGATTGTGTGCAGAAGGTTTTTCAGCAAAGTTTTGTTCATATTGATCATTTAGAGGCCTTCGAATTTTGCATATCAAATATAATACCGTCGGCTTTAAAGTGATGTGCACCGTCTGCTCTGTTCTTTAGACATCAATTCTGAATAAACATCTCCAGGAGTTGATGGATGGGTTGACGGCGAAAGTGTTTCGCACTTATAATGCGTCCATTACCCTCCAGCAGCAGCTCAAAGAACTGACCAGCTGTGAGTCTGTCTCTCCTCAAGTCCATGTCTGTGTACTTGAATTATTTGCTGATACCCAAACAATTTAGCAGTTTCGCTATTTGTATGTGGTATTTTGTTTTTAAATTAATTAAATGATTTCATAACCCCTTCATCCTGATTGTTACAGCTGATGATAACATCCCTGAGAAGATCCTCTCGTATAACAGAGCGAACCGCGCTGTGGCTGTTCTCTGCAACCACCAGAGGGCGCCACCAAAAACCTTTGAGAAATCCATGCACAATTTACAGACCAAGGTACGAGTCATTAAAATCACCATCAGTAATGTGAATTCTGGACTTTTTTGCTGTCGTCAATAAACAAACCTTGTGTATCGGTATTGTAGATAGACGAGAAAAAGAAACAGCTCTCTGCTGCCAAGAAGGAACTTAAAGCAGCCAAAGCCGACGCCAAGACGCTTCGCGATGAGAAGAGTAAAAGGTAAGCAGTCGTTTATTTAATTCTTCTGTTTTCATTTTCTGAAAAACTGGAAACTGATTCAATGCGTATGTATATCCAAGGAGATTGTTATATCAGAGCCATACGTGTTTTCTCTAATAAACGTGTGTGGTTTTGTTTCGTTGAGGGTGGTGGAGACGAAGAAGAAGGCAGTGCAGAGGATATCTGAGCAGCTGATGAAGCTGGAGGTTCAGGCCACAGATCGTGAGGAGAATAAACAGATTGCATTAGGCACATCTAAACTCAACTACCTGGACCCGCGAATCTCAGTCGCCTGGTAAGAGAAATCTGTGTGTTCACTTTTTGACTTTGGCAAGTTGGACTTCATTCTAGTAGTCTTAACTTTTACTGTAGCATTAGTGCAAAAAGTACTAGTGTGGAAATAGTTTTAAGGTTGCATATGTCCCTTCAAAGTAAAGAGGGGAAAAACATGCAGGCGGGAACAATGGGCTCTGGCGGTTTTCCTCTTGTATGTAATGTCCGTGGGTGGGAATAGTGGCGGTTTAGGCCCCGAGAAGGGTCTACGCCTGAACCAGACTCCTGCCTCTGTGTTTACTGTCATCAGCCCACCTTTCGGCTTATTTTTGGAAAAACTCCCTACTATGACACAATGGCCCATTCACCAGTTTCTAAATGGGAGGACTCCTTCTTTTGGAAAAGCGTGGAAGAATATCCCTTTGACCTTTACCTCTGCTAAATGTGTGTTTGTGAAAGGGACTTTCTCCAGCCATGATATCCTGTTTACTATTTTCTTCCCTCCACAGGTGCAAAAAATTGGGAGTTCCCATTGAGAAGATCTACAACAAAACACAGCGAGAAAAGTTTGCCTGGGCTATCGACATGACAGATGAGGACTTTGAGTTTTAAAGCTTTTATTTTATTGTTGTTATTTTGATGAATTGTTTATCAAGGTGATTTAGCACAAGGTAAAAAATACAGAGCAAGCCAGTAGTTTCTCTCAAAATGAGGGTCTACATCAGTTCAGTGGTTATTTGTTTAACTTTTTTGAAAACAGAAGAGGGCCTGATACTGAGCCTTGCTGAACACCATGTCTTTATTCAAGAAAGGCTGTAATTGTTCCATATCATGCCTTGTTTGTTAGTATCCTTTGGTTTTAGCCTTCAGATTTATTGATGAATTGTATATTTTCATAGAAAAAATCATGAAATACTGCAACCCCTGCGATCCGTAAATGAAAAATTGTGTATAAAATTGAGTACATTTTTTTTTAGCTGGCATACATAAAGAAAAGCAAACAGAGGCTTTAATGTCATGGTGAGGCAATGCAACAAAATGCGAATATAGTCTTTTTCTTTTTTTTTATGTTCCTATAAGGGATGTACATTTTTTTTCATGTGTGCAAAGAAATGTATTTTATCAAAAGAATATGATTTTAAGTATAGCCATTATTCCTGTGTATCCTGTTTAGCATTTCTTTTTATTATGAAATTTAATTTCTGTGCATTTGCTGTGGTATAACAGTTTCTCATGAAAGTAAATTATTATGTTGCACAGCACTAGTTTATATGACAGCTTGATTATTCCATTTGGTAACTCCTTAAACTATGAATCCATAAATGAAAAAGTCCATCATATGCACTGTCACTAGAAAAATATGATGAATTTGATGTATTAGGTAATTTACTTTTTAATTTGAAGTCTTGTAAGGCCTTGTGCACAGTTTTTAAAAAAGATTATAGATATGAGAAGCAGATAGTCTTTTTAAAAATTTTATCCATCTTTCACCCAAGTTCACAGCCGTGTTTTATTTTAAAAAGTAAGAAGAAACTTACCTTAAAGAATTTTTTTATACCAACCGAGGAAAGGGCCGTTTCTGTAGGACTGCTTTTTTGTATATTTTAAATGGTTATAAATTACACTGAAGTCATATGGTACCTGGTTAGCGCTCAGACATTGATATAAATGTTATATGCAAGATTAATAACATCATTAAACACCATTTTTCTGTCATTTATTGGGCAGTATAACAATGTAAGCTTGAATGTTGATTTTGCTTTGCGTTATTGTAGTAGGACATTATCAGGTTACACAGTCCTTTTGTGAAGGTTATGTATTCAGTGTAATTATTGACAGTTTAACCGTACATTAACTCTTAGTGTAAGCCAAGTTTAGTTTAAGATTGATTTGTAAGTCTTTTAATTTATATAGACAGTAATTTAATGAAAGAGAAATGTGTATGTAATTTAAATGATATTGGGTCTTGAATGCGGGAAACTGAAGTGAATGAAAATACAATGCTCGGTACTTGGTATGAGACAATATTTGAGAGAAAAATACTAGCGCCCTATGTAGCAAAAGGACAGATTTACACATACCTGCAGCATATAGAAATATGGAATAATTTCATCTAAAGAGGGTTTTTCTTGTTAAAATGTTTGTTTATTAACATTATATGCCTAGAATAAAGGTTTTAAGATCGTACCCACATCCTCCGTGTCTTTTGCTTTGAACGTGTGAATGTGCCGTGAAGGCAGCGATCTGCACCTGCGGCTTTGGTTTATAACCTCTTCCTATGAGGGCATTGTGCAAGTGCATGCATGTCTGCTGTCACATTATGCTGCATGTCAGTTTTGATTTGAAGAATATGCTGTTCTCTTGAGAAAGCGTCAAAAAATAAGGTTATGCTTTTAAAGGAGTTTCAGAATCAGAAATCTATTGACCAAGAGAAACTTACAAGGATACAGCTCACCCAAAATGAATGTTTAATGATAAATACGTTGAAGAGTATGGTAGATAGGCTGTCAATTCATGAAGTGATCAGCTGTTTTCTCACAGAAGTCAACATAATGAAGTCTCCTCCATTGACATCTGGTAAAAAAAAGTTACCCTGTTGTCACTCGAGTGGCGGGTGTTAATTTCAAACCCTGATTTTATATAAATATGAAAATGAGTAGAGTCAGTGCTGTGTGTGCACATAAGTAGACTGTATTGTGTACTGTATGCACATATGTAAGGTGCAAGAGCAACTGAGCCGTTCTGATGTGTAAAGTGCAACGTCATCTTTTTTTTTTTTTGCTAGTATGTGCAGTATATAGAGCACACTGTATGACAATACAATGGGCCACGATGCAATGCACTTAGCTAGATTTTCATTTCCAGTGTAACAAGTGAACCAGAAGTAGTTTTTAATATCTTGATCAGACTACCAAAATGAAAAAGAAAGAAATAAAAAAGTCAAAAATGCGAAATAACTTATTTTAATATCTTAGCTCGGTACACAGCCACTGTTTCACATCAGAAAAAAATCAATTATGCAGTACACAGTACATACTGAACAGTTTTACATACTTTTTTACACAAAATAGTAGGCAGTACATGGTATATAGTGTGCAGTATATAGTAAGCAGTACACTAGTGTTGTATTCCTAACATACGCTGTGTCTGAATATGCCTACTTCCATACTATATAGTATGTCAAAAACATTATGCCAAAAGAGTAGTATGCAAAAAGTAGCAATGCAACTTTACAAATACTGTACATATTATACACTGTATAATGCAGCAGGCATAAGTGTGGTATTATAGTAGTGTGCAATTCCAAACAGCCATAATGCGTACTATTTATGCGTACACAGTGCATACTGAAGAGTAAGCAACTAGTATTCTATTCTGAGCACAGCCATAGTGACTACTGTTTCATATATTTCTTTTAAATAAAATAGTAGGCAGTACACAGTGCATACTGTGCATTATATAGTAAGCAGTACACTAGTAATGTGTTCAGAATGTTGCCTAGGTCACCTGGGTGTCCAATTCATACAGAAAATTCAAATACTGTGCATAGTATAAACACTATATATTTTGTAGAAGGCACATGTTTGGTATTATAGTAGTATGCTATTCCAAACAGCCATAATACGTACTATTTCACACACTTTAAGAAATAGTGTGCAGTGCACTCACTGAACTGTAAGCAACTAGTATTCCATTCTAAACATAACCACATTTTACCGTACCATACTTTTTTACACAAAATAGTAGGCAGTACACAGTGCATACTGTGCATTATATAGTAAGCAGTACACTAGTAATGTGTTCAGAATGTTGCCTAGGTCACCTGGGTGTCCAGTTCATACAGAAAATTCAAATACTGTATACACACTGTCAACAACATTAAGTAGTATTGTAGTAGTACGCTATTCCAAACAGCCATCATGCATACTGTTTCACACACAGTCCATACTGCGGCTGAAGAGCGCTGTGTCTTTAAGAGGCCGCGCGCTGCGCTGTAGGGATCGGCTGGTGGGGGAAGGGCTCTCACTCAACAGCTCATGGCGGAGAACCGCTCTCAGTCTCGGCTCGATCACACCGCTCGGATCCGCCAAACCGCGTCTGATCACGGGCACAGGACGACATGAGCGCTGCTGAGATTGAGGACACACTGGATGTTGAGTTTCTGCTTTTACTGAGTCCCGGAGAGCCAGCTGCGTCCAAACACGGTAAGACCAAACAAACCTGTGTTATTATCAGCAGCGTTAGATGCTCTAATCTTTCTATTGCATCTCATGTATAGCCTTTCAAATCTGATAGGTGTAGTAAAACAATTTAGGAATGTGTAGATTTTTTTTATCAATAAAGGATCAGTGATTTTTTTTTTGTTTGCATTGGTTGCATCTGTATGAAGTGATCTTATTAATTGTGTTTAACTAAATAAGATTAGATCAACTCAATTTACACACACACCCGACTTTAGATTACAGGGTATACATGAAAGAAGTGACACTTGCGATCCGTGTTGTTCATTTATATGTTATAATAATAATAATAATAATAATCCATGCATTTTATGCGCTGATTATCAATACATATCAGACATTCACCTATTCACCATATTATTTCTGTAGTCTATAATCTGCCTATATGACCACCAGTAAATCCAAGTTAAATGGACACATGTGGATGCATCTTACAGCAGGCCTCTGTGTGTGTGTGTGTGTGTGTGTGTGTGTGTGTGTGTTTTCATAACTGATGTAAATGCTGCATACGCTGCTGTTATGTCATAGTGGGGTTTTGTGATGTTTCTAATGCCCTTTTCTTCCTTATTTTCGTAGGTGTCCTCACCAGGCCTGGGAGGCTGTGAGCTATTGGGAAAGGAACTGAAGAACAAACAGGGGAAATGGCTGCGACTGCGGGCTTCTCCTCCAATGGACCTGTACCCTGGACGCTGAGCGACACCGAGGTGAACAATCTGTACCGGGATCTGGAGCTGGGGACTGTACTGACGCTCTTTTACTCCAAAAAGTCCCAGAGGCCCGAGAGAAGGACGTTTCAAGTCAAGCTGGAGACCAGGCAGATTATCTGGACCAGAGGAACGGATAAAGTCGAGGGCGAGAGTAAGTTCTGCCTTGTTTCTGGGTTGGTGGATGCTAAATGAGTGCTTGGCATTATGGGTTCAGAGATGGACAGTTGGTGTGACATTGTATGACAGGATTCATAACCACAATTGTGCTTTTAAATGTGCCATTAGCTATTAATAAATATGCTTAATAAAATTCATATTTATAAAAGCATGTTGTGTTTATGCTACGCACCTGCGTGAATTACACAAACCAGCACTGTCGAAGACCTTCATTCACTTATTCAGCAGTTTATTTGTAGTTTTCTTGGTGGAAAATGACTGGTGCACATTATGTACGGTTTCTTATTTTGGCGTTTGCGTAAAGTATAACAATTTTGGTTTCTAACAGCCTCAACATGCGCCTTTAGCCTCCGGGTTCTCAATGATTTCGTTTGGCGGACTGAATTGAATTGTGATCATGTTTGGTTACTGTAAATGCTTGTGTTTTGGGCCAGCAGAAGGTCTTGGTTGTGTGCTAACAGGTTTAACAGTAGTGTACTGCTCGTCTGGGCTCTGATTGTAGGGCAGGCCCATCTGCGGCGGGGTGTCTTACACACAGCTGCGCTCCGGATGCACCAGCCACACTAAACAGAAGAGAAAAAAAACACCCAGTGAGCCTCAGCGAGGTGTAATTGTGCATCTGAAGTAGGGCTGTGCAATATATCGAAATTATCAAAATATCGCAATATGCATATCGCTACAGCTTGCAATATTTGGGGCCATGAACAAAAGACAAAGAGAAAATCACTCACTGCTCTTACCTAAATAACTTTTGTAGCTAAATATAAAATCAGTGCATATTGAATTCAAAGAGTAAATACTATGCAGTGTTTTATTTTTCCTGTTTATTATTCAGTTCCTAAACTCATGTTAAAATGACATTTTTATGTAATGCTCGAGTAAAACACTACTGTTCACTTTCAGAAGTTGTTGTAGGGGTGCTTTCTTATTAGAATCAGAATCAGAATGAGCTTTATTCACCACTTAACTGTGTGCAAACACAAGGAATTTGTTGTGGTTTTACAGGAACTCTTGGTACATACATACATACAAATAACCATATATATATGACACAAGATAGTTATAGAAGTTCACAGAACTGACTCGGCAACAGCTGAGTAAAACTGTTTCATCTGAGCATGTGGCACTTTAAGCATTATCGTATCGCATATCGCGTTATTTAATGAGTTATCACACATCGCATTTTTCTTCAATATCGCACAGCCCTAATCTGAAGTAGGGCTGCCACTAACGACTATTTTTATTTCGATTAATCTATCGACTAATTTATCGATTAATCTAAACGATTAATTTCCCACAAAAAAATCAACAATTTTACTTAATGTTTTATTAAACTATATTGTATTAAACCAAATGCAATCCAAATTTCTATAAAATCCTTTTTTTTAAAGCAAAAGAAAAGTGCAAGAAGCAAGTGTCCATCTCACAGTCCAAATCACTGAAATCAGAGTTCAGTATTATAGTGTAATGACAACATATCCACGTGTTCTAGTCTACTAATAATACAATTATAATCAAAAAACACTTTTTAAAGGAGTATTTACCAGAAATGTTATTTACCAGAATTTATTTAGAAGAAAAATGTAAATGTGCAGTATTTCTGAAAAACAAAACCAAAAAAACCAAAAAAATAAATAAATAAATAAAATCAATTAATTGGAGATGCTTTTGATTATTACAATTTAATGGAATCCAGAAAATAATGGAAAACAGAATTTGGTAAAGATAAAACTGTAAAACTCAATTAATTAGACAGGCTTTTTTTATTAATACAATTAAATTTAACCATTAAAACGGAGTATAAAAAAATGAAAATGGAAAAAAACTGAATTTGGAAATATTGGTAAAGATAAAACTGTAAAACTCAATTAATTAGACAGGCTTTTTGATTAATAAAATTGAATTTAACCATTAAAACAGAGTATAGAAAAATTTAAATTAAAAAAACTGAATTCGGAAATAAAACGGATTTGATAGTGCCCTATAATTATAATTTATTTTTTGTGGTAATAAAAATAGATGTAAGTGAACAATAGCCTTTAAAATTACTTAAAATACATATATAATAGCAATGAGGCAATAATAATTAGTTCAAATAAAGTATCAAGAGCAAGAAATCATATGGTTTTATTGAACAAAACTGTTAAAATACATAATGTATTATAAACAATAGAGCTCATGTACATTACGCATTACGCTTTTTTGCATTACAAAAAAGGCCTGCAGGGGGCACCAACGGCCTGATTGTTTTTACACATTACTGTGCGATCGAATCCTTGTTTAATATTAACCAAGCACCATTTAATTCAAATGTTCACTTAATCTTTAATATTTGGCCATTTCTTTAGGACAGAAATGCTATAGCCACTAATTAAAAGAATATGTGGACATCAAAACGTGTAAACTCAGAGTGAGCGTTTGAGCTTTTACTTTGAAACCGCGATGTATTCTCCTGAGTTTGCGTGGATTTATAAATGATTTACCTTGCAAATCTGATGAAATGGCGGAAGTTGCGTTCCCAGATTAAACGTTATAATAAACCCAGCATGTACATAATTAAAGCGCATATACTGTATTAGAATTGCATCGCATATAAATACTTAATTAAATCGTAGCGTTTGTGAATTCACAATTATGCTTAATTATGATTTTTAAATGGGTTTAATATATCATGCAGCCTTGGGAAACAGTCTAATAAAAGTGTTTTATGGATTCTCGTCCGTGAAATGCGCCATTTCCGGTATTTTGCCGGTTAGTCAACGCGAGCAAAATGAAGTCGAGGATTTAAAAAAATCGAATAGTCGAATAAAATCGACGAATCGTGACAGCCCTAATCTGAAGTTAAATGTGACTTTCTTAAATCAGACCTTTAGCAGGGCTGCTCTGCTGAATGTAAGGATTTAACAAACAGATTGTATGTTTGGCGTGTGAGGTTGTTGAAATAATCGATATTTAGGTGTGGATGGATTGGAGTAGGGTTGGGCCGATAGACGATGCTGATGGCTGATAGACATCACGATGTTGATGTCCCCCCCGCAATCCGCCACATCCCAATACCGTGTTCCGAAAGAAAATGACATGTAATACGGAACCCCTAAAGGGAATAAATACGCGATGGGAGGAAAATATATATTTCAGTATTTTCTCTCATAGTTATATCATTGGCCAATTATACTGTATATAAATTGCGGGCATCAGGGAGCCGCTATTATGCCTGGCATTGAAACTGCTTTTGAATGTGCGATCACTTTTTAGTTTTTACTTTTTAGCTTTTTAGATTTGCGATCACACGCACTCTATTTATACTATGGAGCGGCAGTACTTACCACACATTTTACAAGATAGATGTTTGTCAGTGGTGCTCATGATCTGCAAATCATTCGCCATCGTCCTCAGTCATCTCCCCTTAATCTGTTTGTGGTAAGTGAAATTTTATGTACCGTAATGCAACAGTCAACCGTTAGCAATCGTTATTTGTTTTCCATTTGTTTTTCCGTGCTTTTCTAAATACGGATTCACGCTTCTGGCACACCCCATAAACCCCTCCCCCTCCCCCCTATGTTATCGGAAAAAGTATTGAAAATGAATTAAATCCTAAAACAGCGTGGGAAAATTGGCTTTAGAGAATATTAGTTCTGCTGATAGTTCTCAAAAGTAGTGATGACATTTTTTTTTTTTTTTTATTGAAACTGAAATGAAAGTTTTAATTTGGTCAAGAAATGAAAATAAAGTTTGGGTAAATGATTTATTGAACTTGGTATTTTTCATATTGCTGGTCTGCCATCATTTCTGGTCGGCGTTCAGAATACGCCGTAGTAGAAGCGCTAATGAAGTGTGACTCTTTCATCAATAATGTCGGCTTACATTTTGATTTTGGTTGCCAAATTCGTTGCATTTCTAGTCAGAAGAGATGGGAGCTCTGACAGTAGGGAGTTTATTGGTGTAGCTGATATTTGCACGGTACTTTTGATTGGGGAAATATGACTTCCCAGCAAACCACTCAAATTTTCTGCTAGTTAACCTTTACTAGTGAAGTTTTGGTTTTGTTTGTTGTTCATTTCAGTGGCCTACATTGTGTGTGTGTTTTTTTTTAATGGTGACTCCCAGCTTGTGGAATTATTATCCTGACTGTGTTTATGTTGGTCTTCCCAGATTTCACGTAACGTTTAGCCCACATCTTTGTTTTCAAAGGCGCTTAATGACACAATGTGAGGAACATGGGTGACGGGTCTTCAGAAAGCGCTGCTATATTTGTGATATGACAGAAGAGTTGTTTTGGAATGCTGTTTAACTGTATGGACCAGTTAAAACCATTTAACCCTCTGGGCCTCTTCGGTCATTTTTGACCGAAAAATTTTATATTTTGAAATTTTAAAAATCGTAGCTTCATCAGAATGAGATGACACATGGTGACTTTTGTTGCATTAGCTATGTGAACACACTAAAAAAAAAATCATGCACATGATTCGGATATGTTAAAGGGTCAAAAAAAAAAAAAAAAAGTCACACTTGGCTCATTCCCGGTCAAAAATGACAGATATAGGAAATGAATGGGAAATACTAAAAAATACAACTCAGAGAATCTTTTGGTGGTACAAACTACAAATCGGCCACTGTGCAGAAAAAAGTGCACAGCAATCAAGGGGTGACACTCTAAAATATAAAGAGTGCAAAATAGACACCCACGCACACACACACACACACACATACAATGTTTGATTGTAATCATAATGAAAAACCTGATATTTATCTAACCAAAAATATCTAAACCTTGACATAAAGTAGTCTTTTAGACTGTCTAAAAATATATCTAAAAGCAAAACCTAATAAAATACAGAAAGTATGTCTAAAAAAACAATAGGAATCCATTTATGGAAAAATAATAATTAAATAACTAAATAAAAGTATATTAATTCTTGTTGGGAAAAATTGCTAATTAAAACCGTATAAATATTGCATAATATCTTAAAATCC